CGGAATCGACTTGGTGTGGCCCCCATTGCGGACAAGATGCTTGAGGCAAGGCTTCGGTGGTACGGCCATGTGATGCGAAGTGAAGAGTCATCAGTGGCCAAGACTGCCATGCGTATTGAGCCAGAGGGCCGCCGTCCACGCGGACGTCCGAAGAAGCGATGGATGGATCGAATAAAGGAAGACATAAAGACGGTCAACGCATCCCTTGAAGATGCCCTGGACCGAGCCAAATGGAGAAGACAATGCCGAAAAGCGGACCCTGCGCCACAGCGGGAACAACGCTAGGAAGAAGATTACCTATTGGGTTTCACTCCCTCGTCGAGAAGGCCGCTCTCTTCCTTTTCTAAAGTTACATGCTAATTTCTCTGCATTCACTTTAAATCGAGGACAAAGTTTTCATTATTCAAAATAGGCGCACAATTACACACTGAGATGCACTTACATATTCATGCATGAAGCACAATGGACACATTACCTTTCGGTATGTTAATAGACATGCGGATTGTACCTTCCAAAATTAACAATCGAATGCAAATATCCTGAAAGACAAAGGATTGGATCCTAGGGGGGGAGTTATAAGGCGGCTCAGAAGCAGAGCTCAATGCCATTTCGAGAGGGAACTTGATGAGGTTGGACGCTCGACTCGTCGCTCTGCTGATCGCCCTTCAACCGCGAGACAACGCAGCCTGGTCAGCACAATTGCTGTGTCGACAGTTAGGCGACTTTGCGTCGGGAGAGTTCGTGGCGACATCTTCAGACGGGTTCCAAACATCGATCTACCGTGAATCTCCAAGTAAGTGTCTGTTTTCGCGGATAAACTCTTAAACGTGTTCGTCGTCAAATTAGCGGGATTTTTTGGCGTCTCGGTTAGACGCGAGTGTCGTTCTTGTTTTAGTAGTTAACAAAATCCAAAACTCAACGCTAAACATCCTTGCGGCCGATAGCGTACTTTTGACTCGATAACACCGCTGCAGTTACTACGCTCACATGGAGCAGAGACGCTCTCCACAGCCCCACGCACACGGAGGCAAGAAGCCATGCAATTGCTCTGTGTGTGGGAAGTCCTTTTCACGGCCATCACATCTTAAGAGACACCAGAGAACACACACGGGCGAGAAGCCATTCCTGTGCCCTGTGTGTGGGAAGACATTTGCACGGTCATCACATCTTCAGAGACACCAGAGAACACACACGGGCGAGAAGCCGTTCCTGTGCCCTGTGTGTGGGAAGACATTTGCACGGTCATCACATCTTCAGAGTCACCAGAGAACACACACGGGCGAGAAGCCGTTTCTGTGCTCTGTGTGTGGGAAGACATTTGCACACTCATCAACCAAGAACAGGCATCAGAAGGTCCACAATGATAGGAAACTGAAATCAAAAGCTGAAATTCAAGGTGCTGCAATGAGTCCTGAAGAAGTTTCCACCTTCGATCCCATGCAGTTGGATCCCGAGAGATGGCTGGATGTAATGGAGTGGCTCGAGGATCAACCCGAGAGCTAGCGGTGACTGAAATATAATGTTGCATGCGGTTATACCTATTAAGCTGTCTTGAGTACTTTTGTGTGTAATTCTGACTCTTTAGTTTTACAGTTCGTTTGAGAGTTTCTTGACGTGCAGGTGGTGATTTTTGATGTCGTCGGATTACTTGGTGAAGTGGTGTGATGAGCAGTGGTTGTGAGATGGTTCAATTCCGGACAATATTGTAGTGTTTAAGTCTTCCTGTTGAGCTAAAGTTGGAATGCATCTGTAGTTAGATCTTTACTCAACATTTTAAACGTTTTTTTCAAGTATTAAGCTTTTTTTGGTTGATAATAGTCGACTTTAGGATGTACATTGATGACGCGTTCGTTGGATATATGGCCTTGACTTCAACATAGACGAACAGTGAACAAATGTGGTGAACTAATAAGGAAATCATGGGGAATGATACTTTAACGCTTTGGTATTCCTGGAACGGATATGGTTTGCATTGTACTGTAACTGTTTGAACATAGGACGTAATAAACATTGCCTTCGAGTTTTGACATAAAATTGTTGCAGATGAATAAAAACGTATTTTAACAAATGTTTGTCAGTTCTTTATTGTATAATGTTCCTAGCAAAAACATGTTCAGAGAATTTCAGGTGGAGGATCTCCATCACACAAGTGTGCCCTTAACCCGCAGCATCTTAGCTGTCTACACGATTAACACGTGTTCATTGAGGGGAAAGGTCCCCATAGTTAATCGTTCATCAACGTACCAGTCTCTAATTCCGAAGTATGTCGGGGAAAAACTGTACTCTATGACAACTGAACATTAAACGATTATAAACTAGTGTTTTAATTTATAACCATTTAAACGGAGGTAAGGTATTATAATATCATTAGAAGCATTAGAATATCAGTGTGGTCGAATACGAATCGCACTCTGCTCATATGTATTATATAGTGTACGTGCAAGGATCGGATAAAAATTATCACAATTACAACATGGCCATTTTTACAATCACGATTTTCACTGTTGTCATCCAATAACAAAAGACGGTATATATTTATATAAATACACGCACAAACCCATTATAAACTCATGAGATTATGAATCGTTACAATTATTATAACAATCACAAATTGTGACAAAGAAATTCCCACAAGCAAAACACCACGCTCACGTGACGAATTCTTAAACAAACTGCAACACTTAAGTGACAGAACTCAACAAAAAAAACTCCGCAATAAAAATAACAACATCAATGGACAAATCCTAAAAACAGACAACACACGCACGTTAGTAGCTGTTAGAAGAAAACAACACCTAGCACCTTCAACTATACACATTATACAGCCAACTCGTAAATGGGGCGGTATATGACAGCCTTCGCTGCTGTCGACGGGGCCAAGCAGCGAGTGTTTAACTCCATTGTTTCAGAATCCGTGTCATCACCCGGTCACAGCGCCTTAGCCAAACTACATCTCCCGAACCAGGCAGCCTTCTCTATGCTGTGTATTTTAGCAGTATATTTACGGACGCACTTGAAGATAACAATTCGTCTAGAAAAGACAGGCGACTTGTTCTACCAACACGATTTCAATTTATATCCGAAAGAAGTATGAGTTCATTCATGAGTAGTATTCACTAAGCACCGATGGCACTTACCTACACACAGTTATGATTAAACAAAGTAAACATTAGTCGCTCATCTCAGCTCAGACATGATCATAGCAATTATTTCCACATCCGTGTCGGGTCCCACGAGAACAGGGCACGTTCACAAACTCTCAGATTTTAAACTCACATTGTATACTCTAACATTATAAACTCTAACAATATAACCTTTAAACTATAAGCTATACATTGTAACGCTTTAAAATAACACTACAAACTAGTGTTATAGTAAACTTTAATGTCGTGAACTCTAACAATATAAGCTATGAGCGATACATTATAACGCTATAAAATTACATCATAAACTAGTGTTACAGATTAGAACACCGTAGATTGAAGTGTGGTATTCAAATCTCATTCGAATTCTTAGCTTCACACCGTGGTCCTCTAAGAATCACACTATGCTCGTGAGTTTGTAACATGTCTGTATGTAATATGCATGAATGTAACCAACCAGGCGAGTAATGGAAGAGCTGATCCCGAATCGGAGGCCACCACCCGAACATCGGTGCCATTGCGATGGAACATTCTACCAGCAGTGGGCAGCTTGAATACGACCATGGTGCGATTTTAATAATTTTGATGCGATTCTAAATCTGGCACCACCCAGGCCGCATTTACGACTCCGAATGTGCATCTACATATAACATACATTCTAGCTCAGTGTAATTCTAATACTACCAAAGTGATATTCTAATCGTTTCAATCCGATCATAATCCTGCACCCCCCAATTCGCATATTCGACCACCGGTTCGCATGTCCAAAGGCCATAGATGCATATTACATTCGTACATACGAGCACAGTTCGCTTGCACGTACGCTACACATTCATATGCGCAGAATGTGATTCTAATACGATCACGTTGAAATTCTACTGCTTGTAATGAGATTATGATACCGTACCTCTGTTTTTGCTGTTATAAATGATTAAACTAGTTTATAGTATTTTAATGTGTTATCGTTCATAGTGTTACAGTTCACATGTCATAGCGTACAGGATTCCCTGTATACTTGATGGTTAGGGACCGTAACGTTGTGAATCGATTAATAATGGGGACCCCTCCCCTCCAGGAACACATGTTAGTGGGGAGACAGCCAAGATGCTGCCGGTTAAGGGCAGATTTGTTTGACGAAGATCCTCCACCTGAAACTCGCTTAAAACACGTTGTTGCTATGAATAAATAAACGGACAAACATTTGTAATAAAAAAACGTTTTTATTCATCTGCAATCATTTTGACGTCAAAACTCGAAGGGAATATTTATTATGTCCTATGTTCACACATTTCCAGTACCATGCAAACCACTTCCGTTCCAGGAATACCAAAACGTTAAAGTATCATTTCCCATTATTTCCTTATTAATTTACCACATTTGTTCACTGTGCGTCTATGTTGAAGTCAAGGCCATATATCCAACGAACGCGGCATCAATGTACATCCTGAAATCAGCTATCGAAAATCGATTAATACCAATCAAAAAAAGCCATACACATGACAACAAATCTTTAAAATGTTGAGTAAAGATGTATCTACAGACGCATTCCAACTTTAGCTCAACAGGAACACTTAACGACTACAATTGAACCCTCTCACAACCAGTGCTCATCACACCACTTCGGCAAGTAATCCGATAACATTACAAACCACCACTGGGCACGTCATTAAACTCACAAAAACTGTAAAACTAAAATGGTCAAAATTACACACAAAAGTACTCGATACGGCTTAATAGGTATAACCACATGACATAATATTTTGTCAGTCACCCCGAGCTCTCTGGTTGACTCTCGAGCCACTCCATTACATCCAGCCATCTCTCGGGATCCAACTGCATGGGATCGAAGGTGGAAACTTCTTGATTTCAGTTTCCTATCATTGTGGATCTTCTGATGCCTGTTAAGAGTTGACGACTGTGAAAATGCCTTCCCACACACAGAACACAGGAACGGCTTCTCGCCCGTGTGTGTTCTCTGGTGTCTCTTAAGACTTGATGACCATGAAAATGCCTTTCCACACACAGAGCAATTGAATGGTTCCTTGCCCCCGTGTGCGTGGGGCTGTGGAGAGCGTCTCTGCTCCATGTGAGCGTAGTAACAGCAGCGGTGTTATCGAGTCAAAAGTACGCTATCGGCCGCAAGGATGTTTAGCGTTGACTACTTCTCTGGAATCTGCAACCAGGAATTTCCCCACCCACCTATTATTAGCGCTGAACACGTCCTCGATCCGGTTTCACCTATCACCATCACCGAAGTGGAACAAGCTATCAAGAGAATGAAGAATGGGAAAGCGACTGGCCCGGACGATATCCTTGCTGAGGCCTGGAAGATCCTTGGCAGGCAGGGTGCTGCCCTCCTTACCCAACTCTTCAGCACCATCACGAGCACCGGTGAGGTCCCAGAAGCCTGGTCGACCAGCACGACGGATCCAATTTGGAAGGGTAAAGGGGCCGTGGCAGAATGCTCGAATTACAGGCCAATCCGGCTCCTGTGTCATGCGATGAAGATCTTTGAGCGAGTTTTGGACACAAGGATTAGAAACATCGTCACCCTATCACCCAACCAATGCGGCGTCGTCAAAGGATGTGGCACTACGGACGCCATATTCGCGGCGAGGCTCCTGCTGGAGAGGCACAGAGAGAAGAACAAAGCTGTGCACGTGTCGTTCCTCGACCTTGAAAAGGCATTTGACAGGGTCCCCCACGACCTCATCTGGCACTCGCTTCGATCCCATGGAGTCCCTGAAACCTACGTGCATTGGGTGCAACTCCTATACAAGAACGTCACCAGTGCAGTCAGGTGTGCAGTGGGCATATCACCGCCATTTCCCATCAGCGTTGGAGTGCACCAAGGATCGGCCCTGTCACCACTCCTGTTTATCCTGTGCATGGACACGATCACTGCCGACCTGCACACGCCCCTGCCATGGTCAATTCTCTACGCGGATGACGTCCTCCTCTCAGATGAAGAGAGAGGAGAAGTGGAAAGACAAACGCGCCTGTGGAAGGAACGTTTGGACGAAAACGGGATGAGGTTCAACATCAAAAGACGGAGTATATGGAGTGTGGCCCCCAAACCGACGGCACCATCAGCATTGACGGAGAAGATCTGAAGAAAGTGACGGACTTTAAGTACCTGGGTTCCACCATCAGCTCAGATGGTAGCATCACGACTGATGTGAGGTCACGAGTCAATGCGGCATGGATGAAGTGGAGGCAAGTCACCGGAGTCCTCTGTGATAGGAAAATGCCGGATAGGCTGAAGGAAAAAATTTACAAGACCATCGTCCGACCGGTGGCACTCTATGGATCCGAGTGCTGGCCAGCCACAACTGTACACGAACAAGCTCTCCACACCATGGAGATGAGGATGCTCAGATGGAGCCTCGGGCTCACTCGATGGGATCGTGTCATGAACGAAGACGTTCGGAATCGACTTGGTGTGGCCCCCATTGCGGACAAGATGCTTGAGGCAAGGCTTCGGTGGTACGGCCATGTGATGCGAAGTGAAGAGTCATCAGTGGCCAAGACTGCCGTGCGTATTGAGCCAGAGGGCCGCCGTCCACGCGGACGTCCGAAGAAGCGATGAATGGATCGAATAAAGGAAGACATAAAGACGGTCAACGCATCCCCTGAAGATGCCCTGGACCGAGCCAAATGGAGAGGACAATGCCGAAAAGCGGACCCTGCGCCACAGCGGGAACAACGCTAGGAAGAAGATTACCTATTGGGTTTCACTCCCTCGTCGAGAAGGCCGCTCTCTTCCTTTTCTAAAGTTACATGCTAATTTCTCTGCATTCACTTTAAATCGAGGACAAAGTTTTTATTCAAAATAGACGCACAATTACACACTGAGATGCACTTACATATTCATGCATGAAGCACAATGGGCACATTACCCTTCGGTATGTTAATAGACATGCGGATTGTACCTTCCAAAATTAACAATCGAATGCAAATATCCTGAAAGACAAAGGATTGGATCCTAGGGGGGGAGTTATGAGGCGGCTCAGAAGCAGAGCTCAATGCCATTTCGAGAGGGAACTTGATGAGGTTGGACGCTCGACTCGTCGCTCTGCTGATCGCCCTTCAACCGCGAGACAACGCAGCCTGGCGAGCACAATTGCTGTGTCGACAGTTAGGCGACTTTGCGTCGGGAGAGTTCGTGGCGACATCTTCAGACGGGTTACAGACATCGATATACCGTGAATCTCCAAGTAAGTGTCTATTTTCGCGGATAAACTCTTAAACGTTTTCGTCGTTCAATTAGCGGGATTCTTTTTTCGTCTCGGTTAGACGCGAGTGTCGTTCTTGTTTTAGCAGTTAACAAAATCCAAAACTCAACGTTAAACATCCTTGCGGCCGATAGCGTACTTTTGACTCAATAACACCGCTGCTGTTACTACGCTCACATGGAGCAGAGAGGCTCTCCACAGCCCCACGCACACGGAGGCAAGAAGCCATTCAATTGCTCTGTGTGTGAGAAGTCCTTTCCACGGCCATCACATCTTAAGAGACACCAGAGAACATACACGGGCGAGAAGCCGTTCCTGTGCCCTGTGTGTGGGAAGACATTTGCACGGTCATCACATCTTCAGAGTCACCAGAGAACACACACGGGCGAAAAGCCGTTCCTGTGTTCTGTGTGTGGGAAGACATTTGCACAGTCATCACATCTTCAGAGTCATCAGAGAACACACACGGGCGAGAAGCCATTCCTGTGCTCTGTGTGTGGGGAGGCCTTTACACGGGCATCAACTCTTCAAACTCAGAGAACACACACGGGCGAGAAGCCGTTCCTGTGCCCTGTGTGCGGGAAGACATTTGCACAATCGACAACTCTTCAAACTCATCAGAGAACGCACACGGGCGAGAAGCCATTCCTGTGCCCTGTGTGCGGGAAGACATTTGCACAATCGACAACTCTTCAAACTCATCAGAGAACACACACGGGCGAGAAGCCATTCCTTTGCTCTGTGTGTGGGAAGACATTTGCACACTCATCAACCAGGAACAGGCATCAGAAGGTCCACAATGATAGGAAACTGAAATCAAAAGCTGAAATTCAAGGTGCTGCAATGAGTCCTGAAGAAGTTTCCACCTTCGATCCCATTCAGTTGGATCCCGAGAGATGGCTGGATGTAATGGAGTGGTTCGAGAGTCAACCAGAGAGCTCGGGGTGAAAAAATATTATGTCATGTGGTTATACCTATTAAGCCGTATCGTGTACTTTTGTGTGTAATTTTAGTTTTACAGTTTTTTTTTAGTTTAATGACGTGCACAGTGGTGGTTTGTAATGTTATGGGATTACTTGCCGAAGTGGTGTGATGAGCACTGGTTGTGAGAGGGTTCAATTGTAGTCGTTAGGTGTTCCTGTTGAGCTAAAGTTGGAATGCGTCTGTAGGTACATCTTTACTCAACATTTTAAACGGGTTTTGTCAAGTATATAGCTGTTTTTGATTGGTATTAATCGACTTTAGATCGCCGATTTCAGGATGTACATTGATGACGCGTTCGTTGGATATATTGCCTTGACTTTAACATAGACGTACAGTGAAAACATGTGGTGATCTAATAAGGATATCATGGGGAATGATACTTTAACTCTTTGGTATTCCTGGAACGGAAATGGTTTGCATTGTACTGGAAATGTAATAAATATTCCCTTCGAGTTTTCACGTAAAAATGATTGCAGATGAATAAAAACGTATTTTTAACAAATGTTCTTTATTTTATAATGTTCCTAGCAAAAACATGTTAAGAGAGTTTCAGGTGGAGGATCTCCGTCACACAAGTGTGCCCTTAACCGGCAGCATCTTGGCTGTCTACCCGATTAACACGTGTTCCTTGAGGGGAAAGGTCCCAGTAGTTAATCGTTCATCAACCTACCAGTCACTAATCCCGAAGTATGTCGGGGATAAACTGTACTCTATAACATGTAAACTGTAATACTATAAACGAAAACATTAAACGATTATAAACTAGTGTTTTAATTTATAACCATATAAACGGAGGTAAGGTATTATAATATCATTAGAAGCATTAGAATCACAGTGTGATCGTATAAGAATCACGCACAAACCCATTCTTAACTCATGAGATTATGAATCTTTACAATTTTATAACAATCACAAATTGTAACAAAGCGAAATTCCAACAAGCAAAACACCACGCTCACGTGACGAATTCTTAAACAAACTGCAACACTCAAGTGACAGAACTCAACATAAAAACGCCGCAATAAAAAGAACAACATCAATAGACAAATCCTAAAAACAGACAACACACGCACGTTAGTAGCGGTTAGAAGAAAACAACACCTAGCACCTTTAACTATACACATTATACATCCAACTCGTAAATGGAGCGGTATATGACAGCCTTCACTGCTGTTGACGGGGCCAAGCAGCGAGTGTTTAACTCCGTTGTTTCAGAATCTGTGTCATTACCCGGCCACAGCGCCTTAGCCAAACTACATCTCCCCAACAAGGCAGCCTTCCCTATGCTGTGTATTTTAGCAATATATTTACGGACGCACAATTCGTCTAGCAAAGGCAGTCGACTTGTTCTACCAACATGATTTCAATTAACTAACCTACACACAGTTATGATTAAACAAAGTAAACATTAGTCGCTCATCCCAGCTCAGACATGATCATAATAATTATTTCCAAATCCGTGTCGGGTCCCACGAGAACAGGGCACTTCCACAAACTCTCAAATTGTAAACTCACATTGCATACTTTAACATTATAAACTCTAATAATATAACCTTTAAACTATGAGCTAAACATTGTAACGCTTTAAAATAACACTACAAACTAGTGTTATAGTAAACTATAATGTTGTGAACTCTAACAATATTAGCTATGAGCGATACATTATAACGCTATAAAATAACATCATAAACAAGTGTTACAGATTAGAACACCGTACATTGAAGTGTGATATTCGAATTCGAATTCTTAGCTTCACAACGTGGTCCTCTAGGAATCACAATTTGCTCGTCAGTATGTAACATGTCTGTATGTAATATGTATGCATGAGATATGTCTGTATGTAATATGTATGCATGTAACATGTATGTATGTAATATGGACGTGCGAACCAATGGTGGGATATGTGAAACATGAAGGTGCAGGATCAGGATGGGATTACAATTATTTGAATAACACTTTGGTGGTATGCGCCGCAGCCTGGCTGCCCAGCAGATACCAAGGAGGAATTTTGGGAACAATTGATAGACACATGCAATCAAATAAATGGAGAAGAGCAGTTAGTAATTGGTGGAGACCTAAATGGACACGTTGGAAACGCCCGGGATGGATACCCTCGAAACCATGGTGGCCAAGGATATGGTACCCGGAACGATGAGGGAAACCGAGCCCTGGACTTTGCGGAAGCCCATGATCTTGTCCTCGCCAACACCTTCTTCAAGAAGAGACCGTCCCATCTCATTACGTACGCCAGTGGTGGGAGATCAACTCAAATTGATTTCTGGATTGTCAAGCGGGATAAGCTGAAAACGGTGACAAACACTAAAGTCATACCATCGGACAACATCACCCCACAACATCGCATCCTGATCATGGACATGAAAATGGACATTGGCCAGCGACATCGCCCACCAACAACGGAACAGCAGCGAATTAAGTGGTGGCGGATGAAGGAATGCAAAGATCAGCTGAGAGTCGCCCTCAATCAGATTGACGTGAACACCAACCGACAAGCGAATGCGATTTGGGAAGATCTCGCCGGCCAACTGTGCACAGCAGCAACGGAAGCACTGGGGCTAACTAAGCCGGCAAAACACTTCATTGAAAAGCAAATATGGTGGTGGAACGAAGAAGTTCAGCTAGCAGTGAAAGAGAAGAAGCTAGCTTTCAAGAAGTGGCGCAAAACGCTCGCAGATCTGGATTACCAACAATACAGAAACTGCAAATCGGCAGCGAAGCGAGTAGTAGCAGCGGTGACATTAGCTCAATACGACCAACTGTATGTCGAACTGGACACCCCAGAAGGTGCCAATAAGATCTATCGACTGGTAGAGGCGCGCCATCGTTCGACTCAGGATATTGGTCAGGTCAAATGCATAAAGGATGAGAATCACAGCGCTCTCAGAGACCCACCCGCCATCCTTCAACGCTGGAGCGACTACTTCTCTAGAATCTGCAACCAGGAATTTCCCCACCCACCTATTATTAGCGCTGAACACGTCCTCGATCCGGTTTCACCAATAACCATCACCGAAGTGGAACAAGCTATCAAGAGAATGAAGAATGTGAAAGCGACTGGCCCGGACAATATACCTGCTGAGGCCTGGAAGATCCTTGGCAGGCAGGGTGCTGCCCTCCTTACCCAACTCTTCAGCACCATCACGAGCACCGGTGAGGTCCCAGAAGCCTGGTCGACCAGCACGACGGATCCAATTTGGAAGGGTAAAGGGGCCGTGGCAGAATGCTCGAATTACAGGCCAATCCGGCTCCTGTGTCATGCGATGAAGATCTTTGAGCGAGTTTTGGACACAAGGATTAGAAACATCGTCACCCTATCACCCAACCAATGCGGCTTCGTCAAAGGATGTGGCACTACGGACGCCATATTCGCGGCGAGGCTCCTGCTGGAGAGGCACAGAGAGAAGAACAAAGCTGTGCACGTGTCGTTCCTCGACCTTGAAAAGGCATTTGACAGGGTCCCCCACGACCTCATCTGGCACTCGCTTCGATCCCATGGAGTCCCTGAAACCTACGTGCATTGGGTGCAACTCCTATACAAGAACGTCACCAGTGCAGTCAGGTGTGCAGTGGGCATATCACCGCCATTTCCCATCAGCGTTGGAGTGCACCAAGGATCGGCCCTGTCACCACTCCTGTTTATCCTGTGCATGGACACGATCACTGCCGACCTGCACACGCCCCTGCCATGGTCAATTCTCTACGCGGATGACGTCCTCCTCTCAGATGAAGAGAGAGGAGAAGTGGAAAGACAAACGCGCATGTGAAAAGAACGTTTGGACGAAAACGGGATGAGGTTCAACATCAAAAAGACGGAGGATATGGAGTGTGGCCCCCAAACCGACGGCACCATCAGCATTGACGGAGAAGATCTGAAGAAAGTGACGGACTTCAAGTACCTGGGCTCCACCATCAGCTCAGATGGTAGCATCACGACTGATGTGAGGTCACGAGTCAATGCGGCATGGATGAAGTGGAGGCAAGTCACCGGTGTCCTCTGTGATAGGAAAATGCCGGATAGGCTGAAGGGAAAAATGTACAAGACCATCGTCCGACCGGTGGCACTCTATGGATCCGAGTGCTGGCCAGCCACAACTGTACACGAACAAGCTCTCCACACCATGGAGATGAGGATGCTCAGATGGAGCCTCGGACTCACTCGATGGGATCGTGTCATGAACGAAGACGTTCGGAATCGACTTGGTGTGGCCCCCATTGCGGACAAGATGCTTGAGGCAAGGCTTCGGTGGTACGGCCATGTGATGCGAAGTGAAGAGTCATCAGTGGCCAAGACTGCCATGTGTATTGAACCAGAGGGCCGCCGTCCACGCGGACGTCCGAAGAAGCGATGGATGGATCGAATAAAGGAAGACATAAAGACGGTCAACGCATCCCCTGAAGATGCCCTGGATCGAGCCAAATGGGGAAGACAATGCCGAAAAGCGGACCCTGCGCCACAGCGGGAACAACGCTAGGAAGAAGATTACCTATTGGATTTCACTCCCTCGTCGAGAAGGCCGCTCTCTTCCTTTTCTAAAGTTACATGCTAATTTCTCTGCATTCACTTTAAATCGAGGACAAAGTTTTTAGTCAAAATAGACGCACAATTACACACTGAGATGCACTTACATATGCATGCATGAAGCACAATGGGCACATTACCCTTCGGTATGTTAATAGACATGCGGATTGTGTCTTCAAAAATTAACAATCAAATGCAAATATCCTGAAAGACAAAGGATTGGATCCTAGGGGGGGAGTTATAAGGCGGCTCAGAAGCAGAGCTCAATGCCATTTCGAGAGGGAACTTGATGAGGTTGGACGCTCCACTCGTCGCTCTGCTGATCGCCCTTCAACCGCGAGACAACGCAGCCTGGCGAGCACAATTGCTGTGTCGACAGTTAGGCGACTTTGCGTCGGGAGAGTTCGTGGCGACATCTTCAGACGGGTTCCAGACATCGATATACCGTGAATCTCCAAGTAAGTGTCTATTTTTGCGGATAAACTCTTAAACGTGTTCGTCGTTAAATTAGCGGGATTTTTTTGCGTCTCGGTTAGACGCGAGAGTTTTAGCAGTCAACAAAATCCAAAACTCAACGCTAAACATCCTTGCGGCCGATAGCGTACTTTTGACTCAATAACACCGCTGCTGTTACTACGCTCACATGGAGCAGAGACGCTCTCCACAGCCCCACGCACACGGAGGCAAGAAGCAATTCAATTGCTCTGTGTGTGGGAAATCCTTTTCACGGCCATCACATCTTCAGAGACACCAGAGAACACACACGGGCGAGAAGCAATTCCTGTGCCCTGTGTGTGGGAAGACATTTGCAAAGTCATCACATCTTCAGAGACACCAGAGAACACACACGGGCGAGAAGCAATTCCTGTGCCCTGTGTGTGGGAAGACATTTGCACAATCGACAACTCTTCAAACTCATCAGAGAACGCACACGGGCGAGAAGCCATCCCTGTGCCCTGTGTGCGGGAAGACATTTGCACAATCGACAACTCTTCAAACTCATCAGAGAACGCACACGGGCGAGAAGCCATTCTTGTGCTCTGTGTGTGGGGAGGAATTTTCACAGTCATCAAACATGAACAGGCATCAGAAGGTCCACAATGATAGGAAACTGAAATCAAAAGCTGAAATTCAAGGTGCTGCAATGAGTCCTGAAGATAATTCCACCTTCGATCCCATGCAGTTGGATCCCGAGAGATGGCTGGATGTAATGGAGTGGCTCGAGGATCAAACCGAGAGCTAGTGGTGACTGAAATATAATGTTGCATGCGGTTATACCTATTAAGCCGCCTTGACTACTTTTTTGTGTAATTCTGACCCTTTAGTTTTACAGTTCGTTTGAGAGTTTCTTGACGTGCAGGTGGTGATTTGTGATGTTATCAGATTACTTGGTGAAGTGGTGTGATGAGCAGTGGTTGTGAGATGGTTCAATTCCCGTTAATATTGTAGTGTTTAAGTCTTCCTGTTTAGCTAAAGTTGGAATGCATCTGTAGTCAGATCTGTACTCAACATTTTAAGCGGATTTTTTTTTAAGTATGAAGCTTTTTTTGGTTGGTAATAATCGACTTTAGGATGTACATTGATGACGCGTTCGTTGGATATATGGCCTTGACTTCAACATAGACGCACAGTGAACAAATGTGGTGAACTAATAAGGAAATAATGGGGAATGATACTTTAACGCTTTGGTATTCCTGGAACGGATATGGTTTGCATTGTACTGGAAATGTGTGAACATAGGACATAATAAATATTCCCTTCGAATTTTGACGTAAAAATGATTGCAGATGAATAAAAACGTATTTTGAACAAATGTTTGTCTGTTCTTTATTTTAAAATGTTCCTAGTAAAAACGTGTTAAGCGAGTTTCAGGTGGAGGATCTTCGTCACACAAATCTGCCCTTAACCGGCAGCATCTTGGCTGTCTCTCCATTAACATGTGTCCCTGGAGGGGAAAGGTCCCCATTAAAAATCTATTCGCAACGTTACGGTCCCTAATCATCAAGTATGACATGTGAACTGTAACACTACCAACGATAACAAAAATAGTTAAAATACTATAATCTATTAACTAGTTTCATCATTTATAACACCAAAAACAGAGGTACGGTATTATTAGTTTTGAACAAAATAAACGGAGGTTCGTGATTATAATCGCATAATAATAATTATAATCGCACTGTGATAATGCTCATTCATGGTCATTGCAATTATTTCCAAATCCGTGTGGGGTCCCACGAGGACAGGGCACGGCCAAAAAACTCACATTATAAACTCACACTGTTATTATAAGTATATTATCGCACTCTGCTCATATGTATGTAAAATTTACGTTCAATCGAACCGCGGATCGGATATGCGAACTGTGGGGGGTGCAGGGTTAGCATCGCATTACAATTCTTAGAATAACAATATGGTCGTATGAGCATTTTGCTGTGATTGAATGTATGTTATGTGCAAGTGCAATCGTTAGTCGTAAATACGAGGCAGGGATTAATAGGTGCACGTTGCATCCAGTGTTAACGTTTATTTTAGCATTATATTTTAGGCCACTATCGTTGATAAGAGTTTGTCTGGACGTGGCACGTGCCTTGTTCTACTCGATCAACCAAAATTAGTACAATTGTCGGTCATAAAGGAGTGCGAGTTCATTCATGAGTAGTATCCACTTTGCCCCGATAACACTAACCTACAAAC